TATTCCCAGGTTGTCAAATACAGACACGAGCAGTGTTCAGTTAGTTGCAATCTGAAACTTCACCGCTAGATGCCACTATACCCTACACACTGGTCCTTTAAAGCAAAAAAGTAGATAGGAGTCACGACTCAGTAACAGAAGTTGCAATACAGTTTGCTAACATTAGCTGAGGGTCATACCTGACCAAGTAAGGCTGTAGCAGCAAAAAAAAAACCAGAGTGCACTTAACTGATCAACTGTGCTTTTTATTATTTATTAATTCATCTTTACATTTGAAAGAGAGAGAATGTGTTATTTCATCTTTCAAAAGTTAGAGTCTCACTTGGCAAACATCCTTTGAAGGCCCTACACACCCACACAGGCGTTATCATTTCCTCTGGCTGATTAGACGCCTGCTCAGGTTGAAGTTAGACGGAGGTCACAGAAGTTTATGTACTAATTTTATTTAATTTGATTAGTTTATCTGAAAAGAACTGTAAGTCAGCCAGAGTGAGTTTAGACAGCTAATTTCCATCTGTTGCCCCTATGGCTAAAAATGCACCAGAAACCCATATCTAACATAGTTAATATAGACAACATAATAAATATGCACAAAAAAGAACAGCTCACATCTACCAATATATATTCACACAGTGTAACACAGTTATCTACAAGTTATAGGAAATAAGTGTGTGTAAAAATAAAAAAAACCCATGCAGGGAAAGAAACAGCAAGTGTCTAATCAAGAAATAGCAGCATAGAAGAAAACCAGCTTCCAGAGATTCATGTTTGAATATTAATTAGCTGCAGCTTTAACAGGCCAGAGAAAGAACAGTAAGCACTGATATATGTATATAAGTATGTAAAAGTCTGAAAACAAGACAAGATTTACATATTTCATAATCAGCTTAGGAGTTTATTTCGTCTAAGATTTTAAGTATATGTTCTTATGTATTCTCATAAGAATGACAAAGATGTGAGTGGAACAAAACTAGTCCCCAAAACAGGTGAAAACACGTGCAATGTGAAGACATTTTGACAAATGTCACAGTAGGAGAAGTACAGGTAGTAAACAATAAAATTAATGATGGCCGAATTCCATTTAGCTGGTTCAGTTTCGGGGTCCTGGTACACTGTCATGGATTTAGTAACATCTGTGCTTTTCTTACAATGACAGTCAGAATATCTGCTGTGAAAAAGGCCCATTGATTGAATATGTCTATGCAGTTATGATTATTATAGGAATATCACACACTGTAGATGCCTTATCAGTCGATAACAACATACAATCTGACTGAAGTACACACCACAAAGTGTATGTTAAAATAATTGTTAACAGCTACTTTTTAATTAATAATATTTTATTGCCACAAAAATGAAACAAATACTTATTCTGCTGTTGATTTCATGGAAACCTTGCCCAAAAAGATAATAATACTCTAATTCTTTACTCGAGAGATTTACACAGTAGCTATATGATTATTTTTGTCAGGGTACAATTAATAAATAAGCATCTCTGGCTGTTTTAGTACAGAATCACTGTGCAGTTAAGGTTTGTGTTGAATCCCTGGGGACCTCTGGTGGCTCAGTCATCACACTGCATCCAGTGTGTCTCAGTGCTTTGAGGATAGGCCTTCTCCACTGCTTGGTGTTGCTGGTTTACACGCCAATACTGACTGCCTTTAAACAAATATATATGACCGTTTGTCCATGTTAGTGCGGCATCAGTATTGCTGGGCAACCCTTGGAAGAGCTGTGCAGTAGGTTTGGGGTATGAGCTGAAATCTGTCGGGCCAATTTCATCCCACTGCCAATATGCAGAGCCCTGAAAATAACGAGTAAATGATTTATTGGAAAATGAAAGAAACATTTAACAAATAAAAAACATATGTTTCAAAATAAATCCAAGCAAATAGGATCTTTTGTATGTACCTTGAAGAAGATAATTTTTTTGTTCTTATTGAAGTACAAGGCTGAGTCAATGTTAGCAGGGATATTGGTTAAGCGTTTGGGGTAGCCGGGGTCCAGTTTGAAGCCGTTGTATCTCCATACTTTGTCTTCTGTGAAAGAACATGTGGACAGTGCAAAGGTATTTATACAATACTTCTCAGAACATTTTCAAATGTTAAAATCCTGCCAGCATTGTACATAAAGTACCCTTTAAAGTACCCTTTTTTGAGACTATAAAAAAAAAATCTCAAGGTGCTACAGAGGAACAGAACATTTACGACCTTCATCAGGTTTATATGCAGTATGACAACACTTGATACACATATAGGAGCTGCCTTAACCATTTAATCACCCGATCAGAGGACTACAGTGATTAGTTGTCAGGTGACCACCTTGAACCACTCCAAACATGACACCGGTCAGTCACTAAAAAAACAGAACTAAAGTACAACAAAGTAAAACTATGCCAATATTAAGCAACATCATCCAACAGAGGCAAAGGCAGCTGGTGAATAGTTTGTCTTCAGAGTTGATGTGTTAGAAGCAGGAAAAAAAGGGCAGCGTGAGGATTTGAGAGTCTTTGACAAAGGGCCAAATTGTGATGGCTAGACGACTGGGTCAGAACATCTCCAAAACTGCAGTTCTTGTGGGGTGTTCCCGG